GGAAAGAGTTATACGAAGGAAATCTAAAGGAAAAAAGAGAGGAGAGTGCGAAAGTGGAGAAAAAGTGACGAGTGATTTGTTAAAAGGAGGTGGGGAGTGGTTTATATAGGAATGGGAGGTGAAAGGTGATTGGCTGGGTTTACGGTGCGCGGATTGATGACGTGGCAGCGTGGGTTTTATTTTGGAGGGAGATTTTCGACTCTTGGGTTTCGTTCTTTTAAATTTTAGAATTGGAATATTTGCTTGTATTTTTTTGGCAGGGGTGTTTCAAGTTTCAGAAGGGAATTTGGGCCGGATTAATTCGTTAATCAAATAACAAAAAAAGTAACTGCACGCGGGTCGGTTTTTTTTTTTTTTTTTTTTTAAATCAAAACATTAAATACTCGTGGAAAAATAATTTTTAAAAATATGTATTATAAATTCCAATAATAATATAAATCAAAATGAATTTTACATGTGTTAAAAAATATGTATTCTAAATTTATCATAGTATATTTATATCATTAAAAGTATTTAATTATTATATAAGTTTTGGTTATATAAAATATATTTATTATATGTATTGCATAGATAAAATTACTAATATGAATATAAATCACAAAAAAAAAATGAAAAAAAAAAATCTTATTTAAATGGAACAATGAACGTTAAGATGGTAGAAAAAATTACTAAGCATGGTGACTCATACCTATTGAAGTGCGGATTTTTTTAAAAAAAAATTATTAAAAAATTCTTCTAGTCAAATAAGATCTTTTTAAAGATTAAATATGTTTTTTATTTTTCCAAATTTAGAATAATTTTATTTTTGATTTTTTAAATTTAAAATTATTGATTTTGGTCCAAGTTTTCACTAACAAAAATATTGATAAATAGATTTTATGCATAATTTTAAAAATCAAACTGGTCATCAAGTTGGTTAGAGTCTTTGGTCAATAGGTCAAAAATTGAATCGATGGATCAGTAATTGAACCGCATAATTCGGTTTCTATTAATTTTTTTTGAAAAATATTCATGTTGAATATATTTTATACTTATAAATTTCAATAAATTCATATTGTATTAAATTTCAATTTTTAAATTATTTTAAATTATTTTTATTTTTATTTTTATTTTATATAAAGAAATACATGAAAAATTTGTCTATTAAACTGTATATTAATATAAATTAAAAATATAAAATAATATATATATATAATATAATATACCTATAATTGATATCATTGATAACACAAAATAATATACGTAATATTTATATATATATATACTATTAAATATATAATTTAAAACTAATAATATACTATAAAGTTATTTAAGTTAAATATATTATAAGCAAATGTATTAGAACAGGTGGTCATTGTAATATTTGATAAGGCTCTTCATACTCCTATGAATAGGGTCTGATTTCTATATGTTATGCTTTCTATTATTTTTATTTTTTATTTTTTTGGAAAACACCTTCATGATTGAACCAGTTTGACCTTCCAATTCACTGATTGAATCAAAAAATTGGTCGGTTCACTCCAATATGTATGCATAAACGATTCAACTCATGGTTCATACTAGTTTGACACCAACTCTTGGTTCAACCAATTTTTAAAACACTAATTTCGTGCAACAATATTGACAAATTTCCTAACAAAATTTTATTATAAGGACTAAAATGAGATTTTTTTAAATTACAAAAATTAAAAAGATCAATTTTAAATTTGAGGAATTAAAAATAAATTTACTTCAAATTCAAGTGACTAAAACATATTTAAGTTTTTTGTTAATATAAAAAAGGTCACGTAGTATTTAGTAGGAAAGACAAAATGGACTAGTTTAACTCATTTAGGCTCGACCTACCATTGGCCACCAAAATCAAGTCAGGCTAGATTGCTTGTCAAAAGAAAATAGGCCACAATCCTTGGCCCATGTCGCTTAAGAGCGTTAGCCCACCAAAATTATAAAAAAAAAATGAACTATAACATAAGGTTTTGATACCTTCTCATCAACAATAAACATTTTATCATTTAAAAATAAAAGGTTGTTGGATTTTGTATTCTCATAATTGGATTTGTTGTCTTAGTAATTCTTAACTTTTTCTTTTATTTGACTATGAGTTTAGGATTATAAGCAACAAATTATTGAATTTGGGATTTGATAAAATGAATGATGGTTTTAAAAGATCTCAAACATGAATGCATTAATTGAATACGAGTGCTTCAACTATATTAAATGAATTAGAAAACTCTATTGGTAGAATGGAGAAAAGTTTAATGGTAACGGTCATATTTGTTAGTGTGAAAAACAAAGACTTGGTAATTATTGTATGTGAAACCCACTACCCACATAACAATAACGAGATATTGAATATACTTAATAACAATAGTTTGTAACTTCCAAGGTAATGTTCACAAGTTAGTATCAAGTAAAATTGGAAGTATTAATGGAGAGTATCAAATAAAATTGGAAGTATATGAGAGTTTTCATGATATAACATCCAAATGTTTAAAATAATTATAACTCGAGTTAATGAAAATCCTATACTATGCCCATCGATGTCAACTCAATTTTAACATCTATGTTCATAAGAAGAATACAAAATCATATTTCCACTTCTCAAGTCAAACTATGATTTTTTTTCTTATAAAAACACATACAAATTACAAAATATTCACTCAACAAATTAATTGACTTCCAAAAGAGAAAAATCTCACTCCTCTTTACCTTGATGGACGTTAAGTGACGTTTTTCTTGTTCTCCAAGTATTTTTTCTATTTCAAAAAGAGAAAAGAATGTACGCATATGAAAGAAACGTAAACTCATTATATTTAAAATAAAATATTCTTTTTGTAAACTCAACTTATCTCATTATTTTATTATCATTAAAACACAACACATAATTAATTAATTAGTTAAAAACATGTAATTATATAAAACAACTCCATTATTTTCAAAAACATTCCTTAATTAATTGAAAATAATTTATTTAGAAAACTTGATATATTACATTACATGTTCATTAAGAGATAAAATATGTGTTTAATTAACCATTGACTAGTTATATGACGAACAAAAATATTAATTGATTATAGTAAAATAATTAACTTTTATAACGAAATTAAAATTTAGATACAACGTGTTAAAAAAATTCAAAAAGTTATTGTTACCTTTATATTTTTTTAAAGACAAAATTAAATATTAATCATATAAAAATCTTACAAACAGTATAATTATTCTTCTATTAACTGGTTAGATTTAGCGAAATTCTTTGATAGCTATATCGGTTTCATTTATTTTTATCATTAAATTATTTTTTTAATGAAACGACGACAATAGTACATCGAATGTGGCACGTTATTCTTGTTATTTTTCTAAAGTCAACTGAACCTATCGAAGCATAAATCTCTAATCAATTAAGATCTGTCTCAGCATATAATAATGAATAATAACACACGAGAGAGACGGCACTGACGGAACAACAAGCCATCTTTTTACCGCGCTTCAATCCTCTAGAGCACCCTTTCAATTTTTAGGGTCTCTAATTTTTACACGTCTTATGCTTCAGTTTCACGAACTAACGGTCAATAAACCAAGAATCACAAATTCACGGTGAATTTGAGTGATCATAAAACGAACTTACAAGATGATTTGTGATGAAGACTGCATTTTTAATCATGTTAGGTAAGTTTAGTTTGCAATTTTTTTTACCTGTTCGTCCCGCGAGGCATGCTAATAAGTTAGCAAGTTTATGGGTGTATGAAAATTTGGAAATTAAAAAAATATATATTGTGACATTGAGGAAGATTTTATTTTTCTTTCCTTTTTAAAACCAATGAAATATGACAAAGAAAATACATATACAAAATAAATAAATAAAATCATTTGTAACAATTAACAACATTAAATATTATAAATAATGTATTAAAATTTTAATATATCAACATTTGTACATTCGGAAAAAAATTAAGTACATTAACTAAACGTTAAATTTTAATGTATTAATATTTTAAAAGCACACACATACGATTTTAATTATTTTTAATACAAATAATGACAACTAGTTATATTTTTGAATTAGTCTATCATTACCTTAAACAATGATTAAAAATGAAAATTTTAATTAATATACTTATAAATGCATGATTTATATTTTTAATCTTAATGTTGTTGTGATTAGTTGATTTGTCGTTGTAGACTTCTACAAATTTAGAAATCCTAATGAGGTTTTGTTCTTTAAAAGGTTATTATGAGCAGATGTTAAATTGACAAATTATGTGAAGGTATATAAAATTTTCTTTAAAATTTTAATTTTCACAAATTTAATTAAAAGAAAAAAAAACTTAGAAAGAAGATAGAGAAATAACCAACACAACAATAATATAACCTAAAAGCTACAAGTCTTAAAGAAAAATCATTGGTTCAAACTTAATTGAATGCGCTTTAAGTGAGTGAAATTCACTCTAGGCGCTTAATAGTTTGCTTATAGTGAACTCAAACAAATACCTTATTTAGAAAGTGAAGTTAGCTCACTTAAATAAGTTAGCATTCGCTTAAATGAGTTAGTACTTGCTTTAAGCAAACAAATTTTGCTCTGAATCTCGTTTATAATGATTAAGGGAGTGCTCAAAGTGAGCCAAGCTAGATATCACCTCTAAAATGGTTACATAAGCTCGTTTGAAGAAATCATTAAGGCACTTCAAGCAAGCAAACACAATAAATATACTTCAAGACAAGTTCATTAACTAAAATAACTTTTTTCAACAAATTCAATCATCAATCTATACCAACTCAACATGCAATCCTCAAATCAATATTTATATATCCTAAACAACTATGATTTTAAGAGAATTACTACATGCAACCATAAAAGAATAAAGGATCATCAATTCTTATAACTTTAGCAAGAAAACTCCTAAAATAAAAAACACCAGGCTCTCAAATTCAACTTCAATGTTTTTCCAAAGTATGAATCAACACAACCAAATCAACATATACAACACAAAAATTTAAACTACAAGCTTCATTTATTTCGAATTCTCTAAAAACAAGGAAATGAATGAAGTGTCACGAAGAACAAGACTTATCAGGAGTTTGC